TCCACTGTCTGCTGAGCCGCGTATGCAGCACTGCACGGAATTCGCTTCATCCACACCTCATCCTGTCTTCTCTTTCGCCAAATGCAGGGTTTTGCACCTACTTACATCATCCCACAATCTTCAAGCACTTAAAAACTCAAACTTAGTATCCTCAAAAGTGTTTCTGTCTTTCCCTTCTTAAAATAAAAATGAACAATCATCTTAGACTAAAGAAACAAAAAATTTGATCCAATTTCACCATTCTGAAGAGGAAAAACTAAAGTCATTTAAAAAATATTTTGGTTTTTTATATACCTGGTTCGTGAAAATCAAAATGAACATTTCTAAAAATAAAAAATATTTGAAAAAATTCCTTTTAATGGTATAAAAAATCTGAATTTATAATTTAAAATGTATATAATAGAGTTACAACTGTCTAATTTTTTCTTCAAATAAAACCAACCAAATCTATTGAATATTGTCATTTTAAAACATCATAAATGTAAGAGCATCTGCTTCCTTTTTTTTTTGCAAAGACATGTTGAAAGGTCCTGATTTTCAAACGTTTTTATTCCTAGACAACACTGTTAGCATCATGAGTAGAATATAACTCAATGTAATCACTAAATCACAGTTTTGTTACACAATAATATCGGTAACTTAGGAGATGCCTACTATGTGCTAGGCCTATTTCTTGATTCTTTACATATATTATTAATTTAATTCTTGTTAGAGCCACTCCAGGAGGGGGATATTATCATCATCCCTCTAAACCATGAGGACCACTAGTCCAGGGACACTAAGTAGCTCATAAAGATAATGAAGTCAGGAAGGAAGAGCCCAGATTCCCGGTGGGCAGCCTGACCTGAGCCCCTCCTCTGAGTCGATACACCAGATGGACTCTCACCAGTGTAATATTTATTGGCTTACAAAGAATGCAACATTCTGTGCCAAAACAAAAGAAAAATCAATACCAATTGAATAATATAATTATTTTTCTTTTACATTTTCTAAGAAAAATAAACCAAGCCAACCCCATTGTAGAAAAAATAACAACTAGTTGTAAAAAAATTAATATCCTAACTAATGAACCAAGTCAAGTTCAATGCACAAATATCTTCGTGTTTCTACTAAGGGCACATTTCTGGGTTAGTTGCCATTGGGACTACAACTTACTCTAAAAGTATAATCCTTGCCCTCTTCGAGTTTACAGTCTAATTTGAAGATATATTAAATAGGTTCTAGACTAAAAGACATAGATCTCGTCAAGGATTTCAACTTCAAAAGAATGAGAAGATGGTTGTGGTGGAGTGTAGGGAAGAAGTAGTCTCAGAAAGGGCTACAGTCGCTCATTCAGTTATCTGATACATACTCAAAGAACCAAAGAGCTATTTCACCAGAATAATTGCTGATGTTTATTTCTGCTAAGAATAGTGTCCATATTTATGGCATAAGTGTGATAGCTTTTCTATAAGCTTTTGAGGCACTTATCATTTTTATCACAGGAAATATTTATTGCTGATATATTGGGTACATAATACTAAATAAAGTTATTTTCTATTCTCCACGTGAAACACAAATCAAGGGGCTTGCAAAAGTCATATAATAGATCAGGTAAAAAAGTGATGTTAAAATTTTAATCTCTTTTAAATTTTCCAATTTAGGTTACCTTTTAAAATTTGCATTATTGATCTATTCAAGATTCTAAAAGCATTTTCACTTAAAATATTATTATAATAAGAGACTGCTGAGAGTATAAATTATCACTCTATAGGGACTCTGTCAAGCTTACTTTATTCTTTGAATTCTTGGGTATTTATTAAAGTAATGCATCACCAAAGAGTTTCTGAGTTGCCATTATGGAATCTGCCCTGTGCTGGGTATTTGGAGGAATAAATAGGGGTAGTGGAAAATAAAGTCCATAGTATACACATAAGGTCTTTGGCTGATTTTCCAGAGTGTTGGAGAGCAGAAGCTTTGTCCTATAGTCTAAGGTAATGCTGGGTAATTTTTTAAAAATCTGAAATCAGAAAATTACATCTGGGGAAATAGTTTGCACTTTTGCCAAGGGAGCACAATGGTACCCCCCCAAAGTAATGGCTAAGTCGAGAAGATAACTGCCTTAAGAAAACCTGATCAGGTAAACTTTCTATATTTTGTGCAAGTCTCCCTTAATGCACTTATTCCTCACCTTGTAAAACAATTAGTTGTTTGTAGGTCAGCCTCCACCTCCTTCTGTGAGATTTTAAAGTTCAAGCAATGACTCATTTTTGTACTTTCCAGAATACAATTTGGCACCCGGCAGTCACTAGATACTTGGTAAGTGTCTGTCACATGCATGGACAAAAATACAGGATGAAAGGAGGTCTTCTGGGACGTGGGGAGCAGAGAATTAGATTTCAGAGTCATTTTACACAGAAGAGAAATAGTGCCTACTGTAAGCTAGCCACCACCTGGCACACAGGGGTTCATTTATATTGTTTGAGGAATAAAAGCACGCATGCATGAATGAATGAATGAGACCATCCACTCACTAAGGAATAAATATATTAAGAAGAGAAAATAGGCAAATTGTGAACTCTGGAAAGTACTATAAAGTAAAAAGCTTTACAGTGAAAGAGAAGCAGTTATTAAGGGACAGGCTAAGAAACAGTTAACAGGAGATAGCGTGTCATAAACGTAACACAACACTAGTTTTGTTTCCAAAGTCCTTTCACAATTATTTCATTTTAACTCTGACAATAACCCCGATAAGTGATGAAAGAAGGATTATTAGGATTGATTTTTGTTTGCTTGTTTTTTAATAGATGAGGAAGCTGAGCTTCAGAGAGGTTCGATATCTTGGAGGGAGCATTTCAAACAGAAATAAATATTTAACATTGACACAGGCAGGAAAGAGAGTGAAGACCGAAAAGACGTCACTGCATTTGGTGCACGGTTCATTGGAGCCTGTGCAAAGTGAGGTTGGAAAGATGGGAAGGGGTGATGGTAGAAGAGTGATAACACGATTTTCTTCTTCTTACCCAAATGGACAACTTGTTTCCAGACAACTGGTTTCTGCCATACCTTAAGTATGCGGGTACACATGAAAATGTTCTGACTTTCAAATTATTAAGATTTTAAATGCCAGTTGGGGAAGATCTTCTTGCTCAAGTTCTAACAGTGTTTCTCCCCACCGCTTTGTTTGTCACCATCCAAAAACCAGGATTGAAAGCTTGTACATGGGAGGGGAGGCGTGAAGGCTCTCACACTGCAGTGCCTGACCCCTCTGCCTTGAGGGCAACTTATGAATGTGAACATGAAGGGCCTGGTCAAGCAAATAATTCCTCCCAAGAATAATTCTCCAAGCATTTATTACCTCAAATCAAAGCAAGGGAAAGGGCATCGGGAAATCTATTTTTCTTGATGTCTCATAATGTCTAAGGGGTAGAACAGGTGAGGCACTTGGAAGAAACATACACAGGTAAACTCTGGAATAAAATGGCCTTGTCAAATTAGGATAGATCAAATTTTCTTCTTCTTGCTATTTTAAATATGTTCATCTCTTACTCTTCACACACACACACACACAAACACACACACACACACACACACACACACACACACACTCACTCACAAACTTGCCAGAATCACATCTGAGATGGCAAACACTATTTTCTCTGCTCTCCGAATAACATCTGCTTAGGTTTATTTAGGAAAAGATGCATTTTCTTTAATATTGGGATTGCCAGTGGTGGAACATAAATTTATGGAGGTAAGCTAAACTATTTTTTGATAGGTGAATCATCAGCAGATGCTAAATATGATTTAACATTTTACACAATCTTTGGTGATGTGCAGAGTAGTAAGAACAGTATGGTTATTTTAGATAATAGAATGCAATCTACACATTGTTCTTTTCTTCCTTCCTGAATTCAGTTAATAAATAAACCACAATGTGATTGTGTCTACCTACCACAGAAATATCTAGATGAAAAGTGACAAATTCAGACCATCATCCAGCTATCTAAAAACATTTATCTTGATGACATTAAACATCTGGATGTTTCCAAATACTAAGAGGTCTGATGTCCTGCAGATAAAATGCCCTGATGACTAGTTCAGTTTTTCTTTATCTGTTGCATAAAAATGTACATTTGCATGTATATATCTCTTTCTATTTCAGACACAGAATGCAATTGAAGCATGGATATAGCAAGAAGTCATAGACAGCAATTTTCAGTTCAGCTTTGTTGTTGTTTTTGTTCTTAATGAATCTCTGACCAGAGAAACAAATTTTATTTTCCCTTCAATAAATACAAATTGTCATTTCAGTAGTGTGAATTAAAAGGTAAAGGATTTGCAAAATGAGATTCCCTAGGTACCTAGGCTTCCATCCACAATGATCACACTCCCTCGCTCAAACACACACACAAAAACTCTGTGGAAGTTGTATAACATAGAGGAGTTGTTGTTATTGACTGACTTACTATTCATTTTAAATGCTATATAAATTATCTCTTTTTAAAAGCATTTTGTTCTTCCTTAGCATGTCAATTCTTCCCATCCTGGTGAAATGATAGGATTTCTAATTTGATCATTTTGATGTTTATAGTTATAGTTTGGCATGAGGGTAGTATTGTACGTGAATTCTATTTTTGGGTATTAGATCTCAATTTGTCTGAATCATTGAAGATTTGCTGTTCCAACTTCTCTGCCCCATTTTCCTACTTGAGTCTAAGTGAAAAAAAAAGTCATTCTTAAACAGGAAACAAGGCAGAGATCATAAAGTAGAATATGTATTTTGGCTATCAGCCTAAAAGAAAGATGGAAGTTCTTTTCCATTTTTACCACTTTAAAAATAGTTCTGTATAAGGATTAAATATCATTTCTAAGTCTTTTGAACCAAGATTGCGTATGCTTCATATTAGAAGAGAAAAAATGAATGCTAAAGTGAAAAATGGTTCCGTGAAAGCTGGAACCCGCCATGGCACTAACATGACAGACAACTATATAACACACTCCACTCCCCAGAGCTCTACCTTTAGGGTCACTCAGAACTGAGCCAAAGGCACTGATGACCACGTCGGCCTTCAGCTGGACCATCTGATCTTCGTCCTCTGTCCAGTTTCCAGCTTCATCTTGCTCTGTCCGAGCAAACCGCATAGCAACAATTTTTCCACCTTTCACTATCACCTTCCGTGGGGAGAGGAAAGGCAAAAATTCACACTTCTCCTCCTTAGCAAGTTCCATCTAAAACAAAACAGAACAGAGAAAAAAACATTTGAAAATGTTCCTTATTATACACATTTGACTTTTGATTCAATTCTACATGCTAAAGCTTATGATGGTTAAATCAACATGAAACTTTTCTTTCCTCCAAAGTTGAGTTTCGGTTCTCAGCAATTTACATTTTGTAAACCACTGGCTCAGGGAAGCCTTGAATCTGAACTGTGATGCGGACGTTTACAGAGCCTGGCACTATGAGCCATTCCTCAAGTGTCAGTAAGGCGTGCCCTACAGTGAATGGTCTGTGGGGTTTCTCACAGGGGTAACTTATTTTCATACTTTTTTTCTGCAGGCTAAGCTCTCTTCCTCATCATGCCACATATCAAAATAAATACTTCTGTCTATTACCATGTCGCACATAACCAAGTGGGAAAAAAAGTCAATAAAAGTGGGTAAGCCAATCTGTACAAACACATGATGAGAATGGAAGGTAGGAGAAAAAATTGTCAAAGTGTAGAACCAAGAAGTCAAAAACACGTATTGTTCCATTTACAAGAACACAGATACAAATACTACAAGTGAAAATTTGAAGAAAGAGAAAAAAGTGAGTTCTTCCTGACAAATTCCCAGTCCCTTCCCACCTCCCACCTACTTCATTCTACCATAAAATCAGGATACCCTGGTTTTTGTTTGTTTTCATAACTATAATGGAATGTCCCTCAGGAAGGAATATGAATATTTACTATTTGTTTATTTTTCCACTCCATTTCTGGGGAAATTCAGGCCTCTGTCAATGTGATCTGAACTAGCATGTTGTGTGTTCTTTTTTTACAAGTAAAAATGTCCCACTGAAGAGGTCAAGGATGTCCGGTCCTATTGTTTCCCTTCCTCGTGAAAGAGATTCTCATAGTACCCTGACTAGTGACTCCTACTGAGAAGGCTGCCTGAGATTTCAAACCCAGAATTACCTGGGTTACACAAAGGTGGAAGAACTGACGCCCAATGGGCTCAACATTGTAATTAAGCTAAGGACCAATATTTCAGCAATTTGTCCATGATTGGGGTTCCTAATTGGGTATGTTCATGATTACATGGAGGGCTTGTTAAAACAGACTGCTTGGGCCCACTCCCACTGTTTCTAATTCTGTAGGATTTGCATGTCTAAAAACTGTACAGGGTGACACCTTGCTAAACACTTATTAGATCCTAGTTGATGGGCTCAGAACTCAGCTGATCTGTGCAACACATTTTCAAAGACAGTAACATTGTCCCCAAGGAGAAAAAATTAATTCTCGGGGGAAAAAATCTTAGAAATCATAATGGTTTGTGTCCCCTTCAAAGTACTACCATACATGAAGAGATTTGCAGAATATCTGTAGTGTTAAAATTATGGGAATTAGGGAAACAAATCTAAAGAGACCCCAAACATGGGTAGGAATAACAACTGGCTAGGAAATGCTGGTCTATACTATACATTAGCATGATTCAGTCCATGACTTGATTAGAATAACTTTTTGATCTGCCTTAAAGACTCTTGCCTATCATATCACCTTTAAGTTGCGTAGCACTTCGAGCTTTTGTCTTCTTGTTTGTATTTTTTTATACATGAAAATTAAATGGTATAGAACATATGCTATCTCTAATGCAGTAAGATGAGAGGAGAAACTTAGGTCCTTTTTTAAAACCTTATATGTAGCATATGTGTATTTTTAATATTGTTCTTCAAATATTGGCTTAAAAATTGGAACCATGTGGGCAATTATTACACAGTACTTTCATTTTAAAAGAAATAAGCAATGTAAAACATAGTGGCTATGTGGGATATTATGGGTGGTGAGTATCCCAAAGGGTATAAACTGCTCACTGTTCAGACAGGGAGATCAGAGGTGCCTGGAAGTGAAACAGATTTGAAACCCACTCTTACAGCTTCCTTAGGGTGTTTCCTGATATATAAAATGGGGTAACAGTTTCTCATTATTTAGGTTATGGTGTTACTTAAAGCAACTCAGAAAGGTAGAATGCCTCACACAATAACTCAGCACACAGAAGGCCATGTATTCAGAGTTGCTACTCTTTGAATTCACTTTTTTCTCATAATTATTCTTCAGCTGTCCAATACCACTTATCAACTGGACTGTGATTTCAAGAGAAAGGTGGCCCAATAACGAAGGTTTAAAAAGGAAGGCCAAAGACATAGGCTCCTCTTTAATTTTCTACAAGATAAAAATGTATGATTTCTGGAAGGCAAACTGTTCCTTGAATAATTCAAGTTACAAGATAAATATGGTTCCGGTACATAAGATATGTTTCCTGTATTACTTCTGTCACATCCATGTAATGTAGCACCTTAGAACTATCAATATAAACCAGCCTATTGTGTCTCAAAAATGTCAAGTGATGCTAAATTTTAATGATAATGCCACACTTGATTGAATAACAATGCCAAATGTTTATGGTTTAAATAAATCAATATGCAGTGTTATCTATAACACTGCTATTTTCTGTGGAGACCAGAAATAAAACACCAACCCACATCATTCCTATTGAGGTTAGGTAGGATCTGTTTGATCCCCTCTATCTTCCTTACCTATTAGTCATTCAGATAATATCTCTTATTATACAGATTATCACTTAATGCATTTTGGAAAATTTGGCATTAAATTTGGCAACAGAAAAAAAAACTTCTAAGAATTTACAATAAAGATTGTCGATGATTTATGCCTGAGCACGTTTTTTAAATATTCTTACCATGGTTTTGTTTTTGCAGCACGTGAAAGCCATGTATATTTCTGAACATAAGCTGATTTTTTACATGTGCTCAGCTCACATCATAATTTTCTATGTGCACCAGGCTTGAAAACGTATAGTCAAATACATAGCATTCTGCCAACTATCTGACAGAAGTTGGGTGATATAAACCCTGACCGCCAACGAGATTATTCTGCATTTTTGCTTTTGAAATTTTAGAGATGTTCTTTACTCTCTAAGATATATAAAATTGGACTACTGGGCAACGAATATAAATCACATTACTGTTCGCTATTTTACTACTAACTAGCTAGATTTTCCATTTGTGTAAGAGAGAGAAAATGTTTAAAGGAAAAACTAGAAATATTGTTTGAATATATATATTTATTCGGAAAGTACTAATATTGTATTGGGAAAAGAGGAACTGAGATCACAATAAGACTGATGCTGGGAAGAAGGGAAACAGTTGGACAAGGAGAGCACAGAGTTGTGAGTGCAGGGGGGCTGCCTCCATGCCCACTTTAAATGTGAGCTGGACTTTCTTCAGAAGCAGGGTCCAGTCACCCTCGATGCAGTCTCCAGGTCTACCCCCAGTCTTGTTCCTCAACATGGTTGATCCAGATACTTGTCTTATATGCCTGCTTCCTGATCACCAGTCCCCTACAAAAAAGCTCGCTGCAGTCTGCTTGACTGGTCCCGCTAATCCTACACCCTGCAGAGACTGTGTAGACATGCCACAGTGACCGTCTCTCAGTCACTGCGTGAACTCCTGGAACTCGTGCCTGTTTGCTTTAAACCTGCCAATTCACAGTTTCCATTTGAAACCTGTTTGGAAAGTACACTGGACACAAAAAAGACATTGACCCACTGGTGTCTCTATCTCTCTGTCTCTGTCTCTCTTTCTCTGTCTCCCACTCATTGAAGGAGTGCTCCCCATCTTAAAGATCCTATATATTTTTTTGAGTTGATGTTATTTTGCCAAGTGAAATATGCTTTCAATTATTTGTAGACAACATAGAGATTTATTTTCACTATTTAATAAATCTAACGAGATATAATAATATTTGTAATAGGTATTCTTTTAAGTGCTTTACATGTAACCCATTTAATCTTCACACAGAAAATATCATAAAACCTATATATTGGCTATTATAAAAAAGTACTTAGCTTCAAATCAACGCTGTCCCCTTACTCTGGTGCAAAAAGCAACACTGCACCGGACAGCATTGTGATTTTACAGACTTAGCACACAACCTTAGACCTCACAAAACACCTGTGTGTGAAATGGCATTATTTTATTCCTGTGGAAGAAAAACTGAGACTCAGAGAAACCAAAGATACATTAAGGAATGAAAAGATTTTAGCCAAAATCCTGATCTGGCCCAAACTAAATCCTTTATGTCCAAGGATAGTAATCAAAGTACATTTGAAACCCCACAATTTTAAAATAAAATAATAATTATGATTCTAGTTGCTGAACAAGGAGAGTGAAAAAGTAAAAGACCTGGTTAAAGGGCTGGCCCTTTTGGGAAGATGGGATACACACTTCCCAGTCTAAGGATGTCTAGAGGTGCCGTAAAGTCATGAAATACAAGAACAAAGGGATGGACTTATAAGTTCATGTTGAAAATGAGTTAATGGAGACACCTTGAATCCAGAGAAAAGGTAAGTTTAGAACAAAAAATTTAAAAATTTAAAAAATAAAACTACTTCACAAAGTGGACAGTAGAGACATAGAGCACATTATCTCAAGATATAGAAGTGGGAAAAAATAGATTTTAGAAAGTATTTTTCAACATTCTAAGTGCAGAAGGACTACCTTATGCAGCCTTCTACGCCTAATGTCCAGGAGTGATACTCAAACAGTTAACAACTGATATGAACATGAACATTCAGAATATATGCCAGCCAATATGCCACACGGAGTGGCATCAAGTGAATGCCACATGGCAGCAGGGCATCACATAGGGCACAGTCCATCAAAATGATTGGCACACAGTAGACCCTGAATACAGTTTTGCTTACTAGGATGAATGACAAATTACTATTAGACTCTGAAAGACATTCTAATTAAGGACAAGTCAACCAACTGCTAGTAATGCATGAGTGGCTGTTCAACACCATTCCAATGCAAACAACACAGGTATGAAGAAGTCATATACCTGACCAGATCACCCTTTGCTGCCAGTTAGAATAAAAAAAGCATGTGGGGTGGGAGGATCCCTTGAGTCCAGGAGGTTAAAACTATGGTGAGTCGTCATCATGCCATTGTACTC